GCTTGGTCCACTAGGCTTGGACCACTAGGCTTGGTCCACTAGGCTTGGTCCACTAGGCTTGGTCCACTAGGCTTGGTCCACTAGGCTTGATCCACTAAGCTGGTCCACTAGGCTTGATCCACTAAGCTGGTCCACTAGGCTTGATCCACTAGGTTGGTCCACTAGGCTTGATCCACTAGGTTGGACCACTAGGCTTGATCCACTAAGCTGGTCCACTAGGCTTGATCCACTAAGCTGGTCCACTAGGCTTGGTCCACTAGCTATACACACCTGATACACGCGCTATACACACCTGATACACGCGCTATACACACCTGATACACGCGCTATTCTGAGATGAGTATCTCAGATACACCCCCCCCCCTCAGAGTGTATCTGAGATGAGTATCTCAGATACACCCCCTCCCCTCAGAGTGTATCTGAGATGAGTATCTCAGATACACCCCCTCCCCTCAGAGTGTATCTGAGATGAGTATCTCAGATACACCCCCTCCCCTCAGAGTGTATCTGAGATGAGTATCTCAAATACACCCCCTCCCCTCAGAGTGTATCTGAGATGAGTATCTCAAATACACCCCCTCCCCTCAGAGTGTATCTGAGATGAGTATCTTAGATACACCCCCTCCCCTCAGAGTGTATCTGAGATGAGTATCTCAGATACACATCTCAGAGGTCACACCACGGTACTCCCTGTATACTCCCAGAGATGCTACACCTCCTACACCCTGAATTACTACTACCCAGTACTCTACCTTTCCCCCTGGTGTTCTGTTTGAGTTTACCTCGTCAGTATACTCTACACGGATTGGTAATGCTGGGCCGGGGTCTCATCAAGCCTTTATACAAGCACTTACGAAGCCAGTGCATCTTTCCTTAATCATGGCTGCTCTGTTTACGTATGTTGAATAATTTATGGGCTACTTAACTTCCCGTCCAACCACTTGGGCCGGACGGTAGAGCGACGGTCTCGCTTCACGCAGCTCGGCGTTCGATCCCCGACCGTCCACAAGTGGTTGGGATTGGTTGGGATTCCTTCTTAACTGTCCCATCACAAATCCTTATCCTGGCCCCTTCCAAGTGCTATATATTCTTGATGGGTTGTTGCTCTCTCGTGATAATTCCCTTCCTCAGGAACTTCACAAACTGTAATCAAAGCCACCATGATTAAAGGAAGATGCAAAGGTTTCGTTAGTGGCTGAGGAAATGCTTTGATGTCTCGTGGCTTCGTACGCCTGTCGTTTGTCTTTCAGGAAGTTTAACTTTCCTGAGGAAAATTCCTTTTTTCTTGATTTGGTTATACCAGCACATGAGTTGAGAGTTTAAGTTGGTTATACCAGCACATGAGTGTTGGTATAACCAGCTTAATTCCAAAGCTTAATTCCTCCTTGGTAATCCTTATTGTGATTCGTATTATTGATGTTCTCACAATTATTGTAATAATCCCTAATTATTACCCATTTCACAGCCAATTTAATAGTCGAAGCCTTATTTCACGAGTTGTAAAAACTCTTACAGGCAAAAATACATGTTAGAAAAATTCGTGTATTTTGTAAATCATGGAACTTTTAATGCAGACAAATTATATATATATATATATTGGTAAGGGAAAAGTCTGTTATATCATAGAGAAAATTCGGCAATACTAAAGTTAAAGGTTATGTTATTTAGTAATTTAGTAGTTAATTAATTAGTAATTGACAAATGAAATCACAGTGCCGCGAAGATGATGCGATAATGAGAATGAAGCAGTAAGCGAGAATGAGTCAAAAAATCATGAAAGAACATGAGGCCAAGACCAAGATCATGAACATGAGAACTGAGGGAGGGAAAGGTGCTCAACCGCTTGGGCCATAGGGGAATCGAGCGCCGACCTGCAAGAAGCGAGGGCCGCCGCTTTATCGACCTGTCCAGCGTATGGCCTTATGCAAAAGAATGGTGAGAGGAAAGTCAGGACAACTATATAGCACTTGGAGTGAGGACAGGATAGCAACTTTAAAATGTTAGGATAAGGAACAGAGATGTGAGTACAAGGATTTGGGACAGGAGGACAGGGGGTGTGGATAGGAACGGTGCCCCTAACCACTTGGACAGTCCAGAGGGAGGGACGGACGAAGGGAATTATCAGGGGGAAAGTGCCAAGCCATTGCGACTATATAGCACTTGGAAAAGGTCAGAATAAGGAACTGGGATGGGACAGGGAAGGGAAGGAATAGTGCTCAACCACTTAGATGGTCAGGGATTGAACGCCGACCTGCATGAAGCGAGACCGTCGCTCTACCGTCCAGCCCAAGTAGTTGGGGGGAGGGAGGGAGCTAGTAGGGAAAAGAACGACTAGCAGGGGTGTTAGAACGACTACTTTGAAACAAAGTAGTCATTCTAACACCTCGTTAAAGTAGTTGGTATACATAACAGTGCAAATACAAGAAAATAACTCACATCACCTTTCCCTGACTCATGAGTCTTCCTCACTCATGCCTGGAGTACCAACAGCCACACTCACCTGAAAGTAAAACACCCCACACGTGAATAACACGAAGAGTCATCTTAAGGTGTTCGATAACATAGCAACAATTAGAGATGTAGAATCCTGTTACTCTGCTCCCTCGTTGGACGTTCTTCTTGACGAATAAAGCCTAATAAACATACGTAATAATCTAGTAAAGATAAAATGTTAATTTGACAGTTTTATTATCGCATGACGCTAAGAGATGCGTTTCGTTGACTCAGTCAATATCTTCACAGGCAAAATTTGAATTGAACTATCAAGGGAAAGCCATTGGAAGGGGTCAGGATAAATGATTTGGGATGAGACAGAAGGGGGAAAGAAATGGTACCCAACCACTTGTGGACAGTTGGTAACTGATAAGTGTAATTGTGGTTTAGTGTAGATGGGGTCCTGTTTCAAGGCTTATCTATACATATAAGGAGTAAACAAATGCAACAATAAGAGAAGCCGTTAATAGACGGGATAAATCCCTTAATAGTCTTTCGTCACTGTCGCCACCTTCCCTACCCTTCACCACCTTCCCTACCCTTCACCACCTTCCCTACCCTTCACCACCTTCCCTACCCTTCACCACCTTCCCTACCCTTCACCACCTTCCCTACCCTTCACCACCTTCCCTACCCTTCACCACCTTCCCTACACTTCACCACCTTCCCTACCCTTCACCACCTTCCCTACCCTTCACCACCTTCCCTACCCTTCACCACCTTCCCTACCCTTCACCACCTTCCCTACCCTTCACCACCTTCCCTACCCTTCACCACCTTCCCTACCCTTCACCACCTTCCCTACCCTTCACCACCTTCCCTACCCTTCACCACCTTCCCTACCCTTCACCACCTTCCCTACCCTTCACCACCTTCCCTACCCTTCACCCACTTCCCTACCCTTCACCACCTTCCCTACCCTTCACCACCTTCCCTACCCTTCACCACCTTCCCTACCCTTCACCACCTTCCCTACCCTTCAACACCTTCCCTACCCATTACCACCATCCCTACCCTTCACCCACCTTCCCTACCCTTCACCACCTTCCCTACCCTTCAACACCTTCCCTACCCTTCACCACCTTCCCTACCCTTCACCACCTTCCCTACCCTTCACCCACCTTCCCTACCCTTCACCACCTTCCCTACCCTTCACCACCTTCCCTACCCTTCACCACCTTCCCTACCCTTCACCACCTTCCCTACCCTTCACCCACCTTCCCTACCCTTCACCACCTTCCCTACCCTTCACCACCTTCCCTACCCTTCACCACCTTCCCTACCCTTCACCACCTTCCCTACCCTTCACCACCTTCCCTACCCTTCACCACCTTCCTTACCCTTCACCACCTTCCCTACCCTTCACCACCTTCCCTACCCTTCACCACCTTCCCTACCCTTCACCACCTTCCCTACCCTTCACCACCTTCCCTACCCTTCACCCACCTTCCCTACCCTTCACCACCTTCCCTACCCTTCACCACCTTCCCTACCCTTCACCACCTTCCCTACCCTTCACCACCTTCCCTACCCTTCACCCACCTTCCCTACCCTTCACCACCTTCCCTACCCTTCACCACCTTCCCTACCCTTCACCACCTTCCCTACCCTTCACCACCTTCCCTACCCTTCAACACCTTCCCTACCCTTCACCACCTTCCCTACCCTTCACCACCTTCCCTACCCTTCACCACCTTCCCTACCCTTCACCACCTTCCCTACCCTTCACCACCCTCCCTACCCATTACCACCTTCCCTATCCTTCACCACCTTCCCTACCCTTCACCACCTTCCCTACCCTTCACCACCTTACCTACCCTTCACCCACCTTCCCTACCCTTCACCCACCTTCCCTACCCTTCACCACTTTCCCTACCCTTCAACACCTTCCCTACCCTTCACCACCTTCCCTACCCTTCACCACCTTCCCTACCCTTCACCCACCTTCCCTACCCTTCACCACCTTCCCTACCCTTCACCACCTTCCCTACCCTTCACCACCTTCCCTACCCTTCACCACCTTCCCTACCCTTCACCACCTTCCCTACCCTTCACCCACCTTCCCTACCCTTCACCACCTTCCCTACCCTTCACCACCTTCCCTACCCTTCACCACCTTCCCTACCCTTCACCACCTTCCCTACCCTTCAACACCTTCCCTACCCATTACCACCATCCCTACCCTTCACCCACCTTCCCTACCCTTCACCACCTTCCCTACCCTTCACCCACCTTCCCTACCCTTCACCCACCTTCCCTACCCTTCACCACCTTCCCTACCCTTCACCACCTTCCCTACCCTTCACCACCTTCCCTACCCTTCACCACCTTCCCAACCCTTCACAACCTTCACTACCCTTCACCACCTTCCCAACCCTTCACCACCTTCCCTACCCTTCACCACCTTCCCTACCCTTCACCACCTTCCCAACCCTTCACCACCTTCCCTACCCTTCACCACCTTCCCTACCCTTCACCACCTTCCCTACCCTTCACCACCTTCCCTACCCTTCACCACCTTCCCTACCCTTCACCACCTTCCCTACCCTTCACCACCTTCCCTACCCTTCACCACCTTCCCCTACCAGGACAGGCGATGGGAGTGTACGAAAGGAAGAAATGACCCTAACAAATTAGACCGTCAGGGATCGAACGTAGACTTGCTAGCCACTTGGTCGTTGACCCGATCACAAAAGGTGATCGGGGAGCTGGAATAATGGTTGTAAAGAAATGTAAAAAGAGAATAATGGGTTCGTCATTCACATAAATAATTATTAGTAATTAAAGGAATTATTAGTTATAATATATTATCGCTCATGAGCACTAATAACAAGTCACCAAGCAGAGTCCAGAGATGAAGAGTCATCAAGCAGAGTCCAGAGATGAAGAGTCATCAAGCAGACTCCAGAGATGAAGAGTCATCAAGCAGAGTCCAGAGATGAAGAGTCATCAACCAGACACCAGATAAGAAGAGTCATCACCCAGAGTGCAGACAAGAAGAGTCATCAACCAGAGTCCAGACAAGAAGAGTCATCAACCAGAGTCCAGACAAGAAGAGTCATCACCCAGAGTGCAGACAAGATGAGTCATCAACCAGAGTGCAGACAAGAAGAGTCATCAACCAGAGTGCAGACAAGAAGAGTCATCAACCAGAGTCCAGACAAGAAGAGTCATCAACCAGAGTCCAGACAAGAAGAGTCATCACCCAGAGTCCAGACAAGAAGAGTCATCAACCAGAGTCCAGGACAATGTGTTTGTTAATTATACCATCAGCACTTTGCTCCTGAAGGAACCTCGTTTCATTGTTTGGGGAAGCCTGTCTCTCATGTAATTACATCATAACGTAATTACATCATCATCATAACATCATCATTACATGATGATGTAATTACATAATTACATCATCATGATGTAATTACATAATTACATCATCATGATGTAATTACATCATAACGGGGTTTCTTTCACGGCCAGACTCCGGCCTCGGTCAGGGGATTCGTCAGCTTTATTTTGGTTCGTAAAATTATATAAAACTTTTAAGTACCAAGAATCTGTATTTTTTATTATTAACAGGTTAATAAAAAAAACTATTTTATTAACAGGCTACCCGATTCTGTATGAAAGATTACAGTATGTAGATCAATAACTAGCTATATATTCATCTAATAGCCCCATCTCACAGGATAGTTAGTCATATATATAGAATTATTAAAGAACATGAAATGTATGACTGATCTATTAGCCTACACTAGCAAAATATGGGTATAGCGCAAGAATATCTTCTAATATTGCTGAGTGTATGAAGTAATTACAGAGCTCAAAGTGCCTCATATCATTTGGTCTGAAATCACTGATAACATTGCAATCATAGATATAGTGTTGGAGAGTATGTCCCAGCTCTTGTTTACACAGTCTAATTCTAGCAATTAGACTAAGATCTAATCCCAGATGATATCCCAGGCCTAATTCTGGCAATTACAGTGTCACACTGTCTAGTGGATGTTTTATGCTGCCCGTATATATCATTCTCGGTTCTAAACATGTCCTCCCACGAAACACACACCGAAACTACAACGTTGATACAACGTTCGAACAAGTTTTAACACTTTCTAACCAGTTATAACAACCAATATAGCAAGTTGTAACAACGTTCTAATACGTCATAAACACGTTAAGCCAAGATGTAACAACTTTATTACAAGTTGTAACAAGCGGAAAATAGACACAGTTTCGGTTTGTGTTTCCAGGGCTAGCTCTTTATGCTCAGGCTTTCTGGCCTTTGTGTGTCAGTGACTGCTCTTCTGTCTTCCCTTATTTCCTGAAATATTGCGGCTTTTATAGCAGAGATTGGAATGCCCATATCCAACTCAATTTCATGCTTATCATGAGCAGTTTTAGCTGCCTTGTCTGTGTCATCATGCTGGACATCACCTATGTGAGATGGTATCCATACAAATGAGACTGAAACTCTTGCTCTTTGCATTAATATGGTTTATAGTGGAGAGGGGGGACCTGCTGCCTGGGTAACAGCTTCTCCCCCGAATCAACCTACCCTGACTTTGCGCCCTGGTGAGGCCACTCCAGACCGACAACCAGAGCGCAACTCCATAGTCTCCTGAGACTGATGGATGCCTACTACTAGTGAATGTTACAACATTCCTAGTGTCTATGTTGCATGTTGTGTTGTGTTTAAGGGCTTGAAGAGCTGACTTTGAATCCAAGAATATTATTCCTCCACTGTTCTTCAGTGCGTTAGTGGCAAGTTATGTAGTGCAGTTAAGGCAGTTATTCAGTCTCACACTAGTGGTCTGTGCACATATGTATTTGTAAAGTCTACAGGCTGCTGCAGTGTGACATCTCTTCACACTTGAAGAGACCCATCAGCGTAAGCATAGTGCTCTTTAGGCCGTAAGTGTTATTTACAAATGAATCAATGGTGTCAAGTGTTGTTGCTTTCAGGAGTGTAAGACAACTTGTATTTGAGAGTACAGATATAATGAAATATCATTGGCTAGTACGTTTCATACAATAGAAATATTCAGTTTAATGA